GTATGTCATGCAGGAAGCGTTGGGCAGGGGCGTCACCCGCGGCGGGAGCTTAGGGTTTTTGACCAATTGCTTCGGGTGTGTAATCAGCGTGGCCTGTCCAATCTGTCCTGCCTTGGTCCTGCCCTGATAGTGCGGCCGTTGGAATCCTTCGTGATAGCGACGGTTTCTTTTATGTTTTGAGTTTGTAGGCGAGGGTTTTTGATCCGGATGGCCGAGTTTTTCCCTTGCACCCGTTGTTGTATGAGTAACTTAAGTAGATCTGGAGTATCCATGCCCCACTGATGGTTTGTCAATAGCTTGACGANCTTGGAGTACCACCGGAAGGCTCTGATGAACCTGCCCATGTAGGGTTCTGGTCTCGTTTTAGTGGCGTTTGTTTTGTTTTGTTCTAGCACTGGGCGCGTCTCGGACCATGGTATGTCACGCAGGAAGCGTTGGGCAGGGGCGTCACCCGCGGCGGGAGCTTAGGGTTTTTGACCAATTGCTTCGGGTGTGTAATCAGCGTGGCCTGTCCAATCTGTCCTGCCTTGGTCCTGCCCTGATAGTGCGGCCGTTGGAATCCTTCGTGATAGCGACGGTTTCTTTTATGTTTTGAGTTTGTAGGCGAGGGTTTTTGATCCGGATGGCCGAGTTTTTCCCTTGCACCCGTTGTTGTATGAGTAACTTAAGTAGATCTGGAGTATCCATGCCCCACTGATGGTTTGTCAATAGCTTGACGAACCGGGGAGGGTGTTCGTGTGTCTCGATACGAGCATGGTGGATCTGCTAGCAGCACGGGGGGGGGCACGTTGACAGGAGCATGCGTATGCCTGAAAAAGGCTACTATGTGTGGGCCCCCTTCCCCGAATTCGGGAGGGCCACTTCTTCCCTTCCTTTCCTCGCTCCCGCGGGTGCCTAATCAGAGAGAGTTAAAGCGTGTCTTCTCCTCCCAAGTACGGACATACCAACAATGCGTCCTACTGAAGTATCTCGACTTGACTGCACTTCGCACAGCATTGGCAACACACGTGCATGCGGACCAACACCGCACACGCCCCCTGTCGCGTGTGGCACACAACAAAAACACCGTGTAGAATATCGTACATGAGCCCTACCATTTCTGTGCTAGAGTATAACTGACATGACCACAGGGATTGTTGCATGCTGAACCCTCACCCGGATCCAGCATCATTGCCGCGCGTTGTGTGCTACAAGCATAGCAAGCAGCAGCGGTCTCGGAAGATATCCGGAACAACTGCTATTTTGTTTTTTTTGGCAGCAGCAGAACTCCGCTTTGTTGTGACACACATCACACATCGTAGTGCTGCTGGTACTTCGCCTACGAACCCATAGCAGTCGATATTGACACCACTGAGACCTCAGCCCTTACCTTAACTCACTTGTCTCGCCCGTGTTGATGATGCGGTCCGGCGTGAGCTTGGTCTCCGCGAGGTACGCTCCCCATGTCTCGGAGAAGGCTTCAAGGCGAGACTCGTCGTCTTCGTTGATCCGGTTTGCTTCGTAGATGAGGGTGGCTTGCTCCGACCACCCCGGGTGCTTCGCCATGAATCCCTCAAGCCAGCTGTCCCCCAGGCCCGTGTCTGGGTCCCAGGGCACCTTGCGTCCGTCGATGTAGATCTTCCGCACAGCTTCTTTCAGCACCCTCCGACCCAACAGCAAGAAGTGTCGGGAGGCGTAGATCAACACATCTTCTTTGAAATCTTCCTCCTCCTTGCACAGGACAGTCCCGGGACCAACCCTCGCATCTATGGCCACCTCCTTCTTCACACGGCGGTGGAGCGAGGTCGGGTTCAACCCGTAGGTGTCCGCAGCAACCCTAAGCGACATCTCACCGCTGCGTACTGCATCGACGGCCTCTGGGCCCGCTCTGGGTCTACTCTCGCCCGTCCCATGCTTAGCAGCAGGACCCCAGCAAGGGCAAAGATGGCCAACATCAGGGGTGTGGGTGGGAGCTGTGCTGTAGCTCGGCAGTGCTTGACCCGATCGGCACGCTGATTTGCTCAAACGAGACCTAACGGAAAGCAAAAAAACATGAAAAACAAATCAGGGGTCCCCGCGAATTGTGCGCGGAGATACGTCCGTTTAAAGAAAGTGTTCCTTGATGGGGGGGGTGTTCCTAAATACCCGGGTTTACTCGACACCCTTTCATCACAAGTCCCGCGCGGCGAACTTCACTCTTCACTCAGAATAATCAACTATCATCAATTGCGACGGAAATTATTCAATACCGAAAATGCAGTACACCTGACCCCCACCATTCATTACCGAAAACGCAGTAGTCTACACCTGACTGACCAACACCTCGCGACGCTCTCCAAATTTACCCGAAGTGAGAATTGCTGTGAGTTTTCCGGTGGAGAAACGATCTTGCAAACATTGAGGTACGACAAATGAAACGCTGCATAGTACGTACTTCTCCGTGCTGCGCCATCGCTCAATGTAGTGCATACGTTCGTCGCTGCACAACTCTACACCCGCTCTTGCAGCGGGTGCCAACTGTTGTAGCTACTCTTGACGCTTTTCGGAATATCTGCCATCCTCTGCAGCGAGCATTTTGCCGTCCTTCCTTGTCAAGGGCGCCGTGCCCGTCGGGACATGCATACCCATACCCTTTTAGCTCCGTCACACGCGCGTGTGTGTCCAGCGGAGCTCGCGAAACCCATGCAACTATACGGAGCATCTTCCGCGAGGACAAACCGTGACCCATCAGCAACAACACCAGTCTATTCTCAGCTCTACAATTAGTTCATCCGACGCATGAACTAACTGTTGTGTGTTGTTATTATTAGCATCGACCGCGCTAACCGGCTGACCAATTAAAAGACGTCAGTGCCAGCGGGTAAACATCAAGGTTTCTGGAAGGGGGCCAGAATTCGAAAAATGCGCAATGCGCTTTTGATGCGAATTCCAATACGACTCTCTCTGCATGTTCTTTCACGTAGACACACATCTCAGCTACACAAATGCCCTCGCTCGAACCTAGGAAGCCACTGATGCAAAGAGCGGAGGACAGCAAAAGGGTTATTTCAAGCCCAGCCGAAGCCAGGATATCGTGGTATGCTGCATCTCCCAATTTGATAATCGTACACTCCCAAGACCCAACAGTCATCGTGTCAGCAGCTAGATTACTCAAACAAAATAGCAACACATACACGGCCATAGCTCCACACATGCCCTCGTCCGAACCTAGGAAGCCACTGATGCAAAGAGCGGAGGACAGCAAAAGGGTTATTTCAAGCCCAGCCGAAGCCAGGATATCGTGGTATGTTCTCCCAATTTGATAATCGTACATACACTCCCAAGATCCAACAGTCATCGTGTCAGCAGCTAGATGACTCAAACAAAATAGCAACAGATACACTGGCATAGCTCCACACATACCCTCGCCCGAACCTAGGAAGCCACTGAAAACCAGCGGAGGACAGCAAAAGGATTATTTCAAGCCCAGCCGAAGCCAGGATATCGTGGTATGTATGCTGCATCTCCGAATTTGATAATCGTACACTCCCAAGATCCAACAGTCGTCGTGTCAGCAGCTAGATGACTCAAACAAAATATTACATACACTGGCATAGCTCCACACATGCCCTCGTCCGAACCTAGCAAGCTACTAGGAAGTCACGAGGGAGCCAAGTCCTGCTCGCAGGTTCTCTTGGCTTTCCTTCAGGTGAACACGTCCAGGAATAGTACTACTGTATGCTGTGTAGTAGTAGCAGGAAATCCAGGTTGTACGCCCGTTGTCCAAACAATGATTTGTGATTCCGTGAGAAAAGGAGATACCACCGCCGTCGAAGGGTCGAAGGCACTGTCTGCCAGATGTAGGCTGTGAGA